ATACGAATGTCGTAACATTACTAGGCTGAAGGCGCCTGAATACTACTTAAACACATCAAAACTATGTTAATTGATCACTATAATAAATTCATTCACTCATAATTTAAAATTCCCTTATCATCCTGTGTTATATACAGAAATACTTGAGTCCCTGAGCGAGTACACAAAAAGAAAACTAAGGACTAAGACATCCTGAAGTGGATAGACAACGGACATCTCTACTGGGGGACAAACGTTTCTCATGTTTTGTAGGCGCTGTAGCATAATATGAATAATATGTAAATTACAATTTACTTATATATATATGTAAATTGTAAAAGTTTAAATAAAAGAGAAAAACTAAATACATAGCATTTAAAGTGTACTGTACAGTGTTGTGGCTTGGCGCGGGGTTATGCAGTGTTTACAGTTCACGTTCGACATCACATGTTCAATTGATTTATGTGTTTTGTTTGTGAACAATTGCAGAAATAATTTATGTAATATTTATGTATACAGTATACCTGTACAGTATATGTAAATTGTAAAATTTGAAATAAGAGAGAAAAACAAAGTAAATAGCGTTTTAGACCCATGCGCTCTGTTTACTCCACACTTTCAGTTTGAAACACGTGTGAAGTTTTTAAGCGTCCTCAGTGAATTCTGATTACTGTTTCTCCAATTTTGTGACTATGGAAAAGAAGAATATCTCTGGGAAGCGTTCTAGTGATCGCATTTCCGGTGGTGATCATAAAAGAAAGGCTATAACACTTGAAGAAAAGCTTGATGTTGTCAATTGTTTTGAAAATAAGGAAAGAACATGTGATATTGTGCGTGCAACGGGAATAAAGGAGTCTACTTTACGCACCATTAGAGACAATGCAGCAAAGATTAAAGCAAGCTGTATTGCTGGAAAAACCTTGAGTGCTAGCAAAAGTGTGAGATCACGGCCAAAGGAACTTGAGGAGATGGAATGGCTTCTAAGTGTTTGGATAGAAGATCAAACGAAAAAGCGATCTGGGACCAGCTTCCTCACCATTAAAGAGAAAGCCTTACCAATATATGAGGACCTAAAGAAAAACTGCACCTGATGATGATGATACTGTTGATGACGATGACAACTGTCAACTCCTGTCTTCATGACTCCTCAACCTCAACATCAGCCTTCTCCCCCATCAAGTTATATTCATATTTTTTCAAGGTAAAGTGTAACATTACTGTACGATTTCATTATTAGATATGAATGTAACATTTATTTAGACTGCGCTATCCTTTGTGTTAGGCTAACTACGAAATTATTTTTCAATTTGGAGTAATCTGCACCTAACCTTATTTTCTCCATAAGCCCTGTTATTTCTATTACGCAAATTTCTATAACACTATGTTTTACAAGAACACAACTATCGCGTTATAGCAGAACTGACTGTACATTAGTACTGTATTTTTGGTGTTTTTTATATCATTTATCATTCGCCTGAAAATTCGGACAATCGGCTTTTCTGGACAGGTGATTCCCCCTTTTAGTCCGAATCTTTGGGGGTTCACAGCAAATCAAGAACCATCGACCCAAGCACAGGTTATCCTTGATATACATCCCGTGCCAGCAAGCGAGGAGGTAACGATTGAAGACGAAGACGAAACAGCCACAAAAACAGAACACGCTGCCAAATTCAGCACCCCAAAAAATAACAAAACAGGAACTATGGCACAACCACCATCACCCAGAAAGATTACGGAGAATGAAGACTTGTCATGACAGTGACTAGAATACCCCATTTGGCACTGGGATTTGGGTTGTTTATCAGCCCATGTTCGAGCTGCTCTCTGAAAGCATGTGCTACCGCTGGATCCTCCAGACGCTTAGCGTTAAAACCTCTTCTGGAGTCTTGTTGCCTTCGCTGTTTTGAGCAACATAAAAAAAGAGCTAGGCTCTGAGGAGCCGATGATGAGTGTTGCTTGGGTGATGAGGACATCTCAGCGATCTCTTTCTCTGTCAATAATAAAGTCAGTGTTTGGATTGTGGGTGTTGCCAAAAGCCCTTGAACTTTTCGGCCTGCCCAAACAAGGTATTGGTGATAGTGAAGTTGTGTGCAGCACACTTGCTGAGGAGGAATAGGCCGTTGGGATTTCACTTGCCTAGTCTGTTTCTCCCCATGATTCCCTGCCAAATGTCAGCATCTCTGCCAACTCTAGCAATGAAGTTACCTAGGAACACTATTTTCTCTGGGGATAGAGGTTAGCACTCTGTCAAAGTCAGCATAAAAGGCCTACTTGATGTCATCCTCTGCATCCATTGTTGGGGCGTATACACTGATGAAGAAGGCATGACATGAGTGATTCAGTGGGACTCGGAGTGTCATGAGGCACTCATTGATCCCAATAGGCATTTCAGTTAGCCTGTGTAGGATGCATTGGCAGATGGCAAAGCCAACTCTCCGCAGCAGCCTTACCCTTCCAGAAGAAGGTATAACCAGACCCCCGGTCTGTGAGTTGACCCTCATTTGGGAGCCGGGACTCACTGATGGCTGCAATGTCGATGTTATACTAGCCAGCTCTTCTGCCACAAGGGCAGTTCTTCTTTCAGGATGCTCATTTGTGCCAGTATCCAGAAGGGTCCTGACATTCCATGCAGCACCCATAAGAGGTTGTACAGTTTGTTTTTGTTTTGATCTGTGATTATAATTATGTTTTCAACTTCTTAAGGATGACATTACTGGGTGCGGTTGCCCAGTCAGGGTGGTTCTTTAGGCAGGCTATGTTTAGGGCAACTTTTCTAGCCCCCTCCCCATGTGGGGTGAGCAGAGTGGCTCCTCGTAAGGGCTGCTCAGTCGCACAGACAGGACCGGATTGCACTGCTGCCTAGATCCCAGTGCATAAACGACCATCTTATCTGTGCCGCCCACTTGCAGAGTTGTGATTAGAGACTCCCGGCAGTCATCTCTGGCTGTCCCCATCATCACTCGTCCGTCGCCTTAGGACTTTTGGGGGTATAGGGGTTTTGATGATGATGAGTATGGTGGGCTGGATGATGGGTGTGTGTGAGTAGATTTATGTGGTCAAGCAGAAGCACAGGCTGCAACCACACATCTTGGCTCTCCCTTTTCTTGATCCAGAGGTGCAAGTGTTGCCACGACTGGGGAGAAGGAAAGTTGCAATGGACTGCCGATAGCCCAATTTGTTGGGTTTTGCCTTAGTAGCCTGTCCATAATGCATTGCCTTCATCCGCCGGTATAGTCATTGGGTTCCCATGGTGGTCACCTCTTCTGTCTATACTGCCGTTGGGGTCTTGTTGGAGTTCTGTAAGCATGTCTGCCTGATGTGGGGCTCCACCACAGATTTCTCATTCGGGGTTCTATCTCTTGTAGCCTTATACCTGCCAAGGTTAATCCGCAAGGCAGCGGGGCAGTCATTGGTAGGCGCCAGGATATGTCCACATGCCAGTGGGCCTATGCGCCGTCCCTCTGGGGCCCAATGCTGCTCCGAGATCCCCTGCTAGTCTAGCCTGGGCCCACTAGGCACCCAGTTACTGTGAGTTGCCACGAGGAGGCACAGCAGGAGTCTTGATGGTGAAGAGGCTGTGTACTGGCCGGGGAGGACTTATGCAAGTTGCTTCCCTGTTCGCCACGAGGGCTAGCCAGCGGTGGTAGCTGAAAGCGAGAGGGAGCAAGCAGTGCCTGCACCTTAACACTAACATAATGCTGCCACACTAGATGCATTACACCACCCTGTGTGCATTCGCACGCACGCACCCACGCAATAGAAGTAATGAAATGAGAGCATTCATTCCTGTACTAAATAAAATAAGAATGATCAAAGAAACCACTGGCCTTCAACCAGGAGGTAACAGAAGAACAATGAAGAAGTGAATAAGATGTACTGTATCAGTCAATCAGCAACCTGAGTGACCTGCCACATTAATGAAGGCACCTGATTAAGTTTGCAGATTTATATACCCTGTATGGAATAAAATTCATCAACACATAATAAAATGAAAATGACAAATTAATGAGGATGAAAATTTCAGTCAGCAACTAAGCAACTATAGATGTCTTTGTAAATAAACTTTCCAATTTTCAGCAAATTCCACCAAAATAAGACTACTTATGAGGTGCTCTTCAAAAGATAAAAAATAATTATGTCAAGAATACAGCCCTCTTTAATGAGTGACCTACTGTACTTTCTTCAAGAGGTGCTCTTTAGGTGAATACTCATTCAATAGGACCCATTTTCCCATAGCATCCCATGTTAAAAACTGATTGTGTTCAAGCCCAAAAATTTTCAACCCAAAATCCCAACAATATTAAATATTGATTTAGTATACAGTATTGTACTGTACTTACCAGAGCTGAAAATGAATGTAGCTTGTGTTAGTCTTGCCTTGATGGTTGAATATGATGGTAACAAATACTGTACAGTAAACCCCAGATAACTCGGAATTCCATCTGTGTCACCTACTATGATACTTCATTCTTTGCCTGCAGTGCTGGAAAGTGTTACTTTTTTACATTTAGTAACTACATGTACACATATATGGGTCGATAATTTTTATTGTAGTATTTTTGTAGGAGGGGGAAGTGCCAAGCTCAGTCAGAATTTGAGATAATTCGGCCAGGCCAGAGCCCCATATGTACCTAGTTATCAAGGGTTTACTGTACGGCCATGTTGTCTGGGCTCACTGGCTAGCCAGGCTGGGTCAGTCTGCCACTGACATCACTTTAGTATAAAAAATGAATCCAACAGTACATTAGTCCCACTGACAGCTCAACCAATGACAAAGTAAGGCTAAGCCAATTTCCTAAATGATTAAGGTATGTGACCTGATTCCCTCTCAATTTTGCTTGTTGAATTGAATAAACGTTTGTTTACTGAATTTTTACACCCTAAAACAGCTTGTTAAACTGAATTCTTGTTCATCGGTTACCATTTCAGTGGGAACTAACTGTTTTACATAAAGTCTTCCATGAAAAAAGCAAAGCAATGAAGCCCAACATAAAAAAACAAATAAAAATTATTGCACTTACCGGTTGTAATAGTATAATCCTATAGATGTAGAAACGAAGGGGATGATTATACAAAGGGAGAAGTAGTGAGACTCTGCCTGGTAGCCGCCCAGCTCTATTAGACTGAACATTGCAACTGATGCTCCAATAACTACTGCCTGTCCACTCTCCAGGCCATTGATACCAGCATAAATATTGATAGCATTTGTACAAAAGACTGCCAGCATTGACATGTACACATAGTATAAAGGACCTGTAAGAAAAACAAAATCAGTTAACAGGGAAGAATGTTTTTATTCCTATTCATTATTATTATTCATGTGTTATTTCTTTCAATATGGATAATCACCCCTTTCTACCTCATTATAATTCATCATTAATAACTTCTATTTATCTATATAATTGTATATTTCTAAGTAAGATTAGAATTTGTAAATAGAGTACTGCCTTAGCAACTAGCCACTGGGACCATTATAGCACCTTTGTATGAGGTCTAACAATTAAGTTTGCGAACTCGCCATGTGGGTTAACTGGCGGCAGCACTGGAACTACTGTAGTGTGAGTGGCGTGCATGTGACCTTGATCCCTTCTCTTACTATCTCAGTTATGTCATCGATCTCAAGCGAGTCAGACGTGTGGAGTGGCAGTTATTGTATTAGTGTGTTTTCTGGTTTTGTTGTGATAATGACAGATATTGTTTTAGAACATAGAACGAACATCAAGTTTCTTGTGAAACCGGGGAAAACTGGGCCTGAAATTTAGAACATGTTAACCCAAGTTTATGAGGATAATACCTTAAAGAAAACATCAGTTTACAAGTGGATTAAGGGATTTTCTGAGGGACGAGAAGACGTGACAGACGATGACAGAGAAGGATGACCAACAACGAGCAGGATTGAGGAAAACATTGACAAAATTAAGAAAATTGTGCAAGGTAACAGGCCACTGACATTGAGAAGCATTGTGGATGAGGTGCAGATTGACAGGGAAACAGTTAGAAAGGTTTTGACTAAAGATTTGAAGACGAGAAAAGTTTGTGTGAAAATGGAGCCGAAAAATATCAGTGACGAACAAAAGCGAGGAAGAGTTGAAATTTGCTTAGACCTTTGGGAAAGAGAAGTTGGAGATGACCTGATGCACCGAGTCATTACTGGTGATGAATCATGGGCCTACCAATACAACCCTGAAACAAAACGCCTGGCGCTCAGTGGAAAACTGCAAACTCGCCACGCCCTAAAAGTGTCACATGTCAAAGTCGAAAATGAAGACAATGCTCATTACTTTTTTATATTCTAAGGGTGTAGTTCACAAAGAATTTGTTCCCCAGGGCAGGATGTGAACCAGTTTTACTATCTCGACGTACTTAAAAGACTCACAGAAAAGTTAGACGTAAAAGCCCAAAAGTTTTTGCTGGAAACAAGTGGATCTTGCATCATGATACTGCCACAGTGCACATGGCATTGATTGTGCAGGAGTTTTGGGCCGAGACACATGACCTTACTGCACCACCCTCCTTATTCACCTGACCTGGCCCTGTGTGACTTTTTTCAATTTTCTTTGCTGAAGAAACACATCAAGGGAATGCATTTTCAAGACGTGGATGACATTCAGAGAAGCACAACGGCAGCTATAAAAGCAATTCCAGAAAGTGAGTTACAGAAATGTTTTCACGGGTGGAAGAAATGATGCATTCATGTATAGCATTGCAAGGTGAATACTTTGAAGGGGAATACAGCTCCGATCCTCAGTAAGGTATGTATCAGCGCCTATAGCATGAGTTTGCAAACTTTGTCAGACTATGTATATTCAGATGGTGGGCTTCTACATTAATTCATTATTGAATGCATTTGTTGTCAGGTGTATGAAATGGCTTTCTCTGTAATTTATATAATGAATGATTATCTAATATGAAAATACAAATACAGTAAGACCCGTCCAAGTCAGACTTCTATAAGTCGGAACCTCCAAAACTTGAACACGCTCTGACTTAAGGGGGTTCTGTAGGGGGACAGTTAGTAGAGGAGGCAGTTTCCACATGTTTGTTGTCGTGACTACTACTCCACTTAGCACTATTTTTTCTTCTGTATTTAGTGCTTCCCTGGTGTATTATTATGTCTTCTAAAGCAAGTAAAGTCAAAACAAGACCACTGACCACTGGGAGAAAAGTAATGTTTCTCAAAACTCTATCAATTGAAAAGAAGCTGAAGATATGATATTGAATCCAGTGATTTAAAAAAATCAATATTTGTATTACATGTTGAGTATCCCTTATCTGAAATGCTTGGGACCGAAGGGTCTCAGATTTAGGATAATTTCGGATTTTGGAATATCTATATCCATTATACCTCTATAGCAGTGGTTTCCAAACCGTGCGCCGCGAGATGTAATTAGGTGCGCCGCGAAAGAGCAAGATTATATTTCAAAATGTGAAAAATACAAACTGAAATTCGTAATAAAGTTCATATATAACTGTCAAAGTGGCAAACAACTAAACTAAGAATGAGAGGTGGTTTGTATCATTCAATTCATTTAGGCTAATTATGGTATGACAGTGTTAGTAAATTTTGAGTCTTAAATTTCATAAGGATAAGAACTAAATTCGCATGAATCTATCACCGTAATTTACGTCTTATAGACACATTCAATGCATAACTATGTTTCAGTTTGTTTCAGACGTAGCAGAAGTTTTCATTTCAATAATGGATTTTGAAAAAACTATTCAGCTAAAATATTGTTGAACGAAATTTTTTAACACGTCCTCACGTATTGCAGCGGATCAGGACCATAACTATATTTCAATTTGCTTCATTCGTAGTAGTAGAAATTTTCATCTTTTCAATTGACTTTGAAAGGCTCTTGAGCTAAAATAAATGAAACTGAACAAAAGATTCCGAACATATCTTCACGTTTGCGGACCGTTAAGTTATTAAATAGGTGACATGCTGTCACTTGTCTCAGTTTGATACATGACTTTGTTAGCAAGCTGTGCTCTTTGTGCGATTCAATTCATTACCCATAAAATGGATAAGTTTATTAAGAGGAAACATAACAGTGACGAATGTGAATCTGAAAGTGAACGTTCGTCAAAAGCAACTAAGCCTAGTGATAATAAGGCGAAAGCTCGACCCAATCGTCAATATTGCAATAGCTATTTAAAGTTTGGGTTTCATTGGACTGAAAACGAGGATCAACCTCTCCCACTGTGTGTTGTTTGTGGTGAAGGGATGTCTAACGAAGGCATGGTACCCAGAAAGTTAAAGAGACATTTTACAACTAAACACTCACATCTTCAAGATAAAGATCTGAATTATTTACAAAGACTGTTAGAACAGCAATCCGAGCAAAGAAACTATTTTCAGAAAAAGTTTACAGTTTCTGAAATGGCTCAAGTAGCTTCTATTGAGATAGCCGAAATGATTGCGCTACAAATGAAATAGCCTGTAGAAAGATGGTTAAAACCATGTTAGGTGATGAAGTCGAACAGAAATAAGCAAAATTTCACTCTCAAATAATACAATCCATAGAAGAATTATGGATTTATTGCTGACACAGTAGAAGTCCAAAAATCCGGACTGCTTGGGGATTGGGTCGGTCCAAATTTTCAGATTTTCCAGATTCTCAGGCAGTACTTTTAAAATTCAAATTTAAGGAGGAATAAAGAAGAGATGAACAGGTACATTTTGATAGTTTATTCATTAGCAAATATAGCATGCTTCATTTATCAAAATGAGCAGTTTTAAAGAAAAAGCTGTGAATTCTAGAATTTTATTCTTTGCCTTTTTTATATCATAAATTGTAGACTTTCCAATGTCGTATGTTTCCATTAGAACAGTATTGCTCACACCATGTTCTAGTTTCTTAATTATTTCAAGTTTGCCACTCAATTTCAACGTGTTCTTCTTTCTCTTCACACAACGAAGTTTATCTACTTTAGAAGCCATTATTATGGGCTTGTACAATACTCTGTAAATGGAAAGAGTAGGACTCAAAATTACATATGTTGTCACAGTTTGATTGCTCGTTTTAAAGTGGCGACCAAGTGGTCGCTTATTGTCGCTGTACAGCTGTGGCGCTCACGCATGCACACATACACACAAAAGCCCGCTAAAAAAAAAGTTTGAGTTTTCGAAAAGTCCGGATTCTCGGGCGGTCCGGATTTCTGGCATCCGGATTTTTGGACTTTTACTGTATAGAGGAAAATGTACAGAACAAACTTCAGAACTCAGAATTTGCTTTACAAGTTGATGAATCTACTGACATTAGCAACAAAGCACAATTACTTACATTTATTCGCTTTATTGATGGAAACCAAATCATAAATCAGTTCTTATGTTGCAAAGAAATGTCACTCACTACAAGAGGTCAAGATATCTTTGACATTTTATCTGCCTACCTTGAAAAATGGAATTTATCATGGAAGTCATGTGTTGGAATATGTACTGATGGGGCACCATCTATGGTAGGCTGTATTAAAGGTTTTGTATCGCTCGTACAACAGCAAAATCCTAATGTTATACGTACTCATTGCTTCCTACATACTGTAGGGAGGTACTAGTTTCAAAAACAATAGAAGTTGAATTAAAGCAAGTATTAAAACAAGTTGTTGAAATGGTTAATTATATTAAAAGTAGACCATTGAAGTCTCGCTTATTTGAACAAATTTGTGTTGATATGGATTCCCAGCACAAGCGCTTAATTTTACACACAGAAGTCTGATGGCTCTCAAGAGGTAAGGTGCTATGTCGCATACATGAACTCCAGAAAGAATTACTTGTATTTTTTGAAGAAGAAAAACGTGAACGCTTCTGTGAATATCTTCAATGCGAATTTTGGAATTCCAAGCTGGAATATTTAACGGAGATATTTGCACAACTTAATAGCGTCAACACAAGTATGCAAGGTAGAGATGAAAACATTCTCACTTCGACGGATAAGCTGGTTTCATTTAAAAAGAAAGTTGTAATTTGGAAAAATAGAGCTAAGATGGCAACTCTGAAATGTTTCCCTTAATACGTAAAAGCTGCATAAAAGAAATGACTCCTATTGTAGTTGAACATTTGACAACTCTGGAAGAAAAATTTTACTTTTATTTTCTGTCATTGAACACAGAAGAGTATGATTGGGTTCGAAATCCCTTCATAAAAATTCCATCTAATATTGGTCTAAAATTATGTGAAGAAGAGGAATTGGCATCTATATCCAGTGGTCGTGGACTTAAAATCAAGCATGCTGAGTTACCTATTGATACATTTTGGAATGCTATTAAAAAAGAATACCCCTCAGTAGCTAAAAAAGCTTTATCCATTTTGATGCAGTTTTCCACATCGTATTTATGTGAATTGGGATTTTCAACCCTCAATAACATCAAATCCAAAAAAAGAGAGAGGCTTCGTTGCATCGAAGAAGAAATGAGGGTTTGTCTTTCTCAAATACGTCCCAACATTGAAAACATTGCCAAAAATCATCAAACGCACGTTTCTCATTGATAACTTTGCTCCATTTATTGAATAAAGAAGTAAGTACGTACAATTTTTCTCTATTTTTAATTATCTATATTTCTACTTTATGTTATGCTAATATGTATAAATACCTCTTTTGAATAAATTTTGGAATTTATAGACAAAGTGCGACGAAATATTTTTACTTGTTCTAAAGTGCGCCGTGAGTAAAAAAAAGTTTGGGAACCACTGCTTTATAGTGTGGTAGCTCACCCAGCAAGGATGGGGCCCTAGTCTATTCACAAAAATCATTTATATTTCCTTTACAACATTTGACTGCATATAGCCTGCAGGTAGTTCTATGAATTGTTTTTAATCAATTTGAGTATGAGATACAAGATAAGAAGTACACTGAAGACTCAGAATGGTAAGCAATCACTAACATCTATTAAGCAATGCCATGATGCCTGACCCTGAGGTCCTAAGCAGCCTGTGTCTTACCTTTATTCATTACACATACACTTATCCTCGTATTTGCAAACTCGATATTTGAGAACTCACTTATTCCAAAAAAATTATCAGTGACCCTTTTATCAGGATTCGCAATCAAAATTCTGATATCCGCGAGGCTGTTAGAAATTTTTGACCGACCATTGGCAGATGCACATCTCCCGCACACACTCCGTGGTTAGTCAGGTTAGTCAGTTCTCTAGTGTCTGCCGCACCTTCCTCCCCTTCTCATCCCACCCAGTGGAATTACACCACAGTGTATCTCTATCACCAGAATTAAAATTCACCACAAATTGGTAAAATTTGGTTCCTGCTGTACTGACCCAATAATTGATTGATTGTGCTAATTACATCACTGGCAATGCAACAGCTTAGGTCATATAATGACAATTTAAAATTAAGGCTTAAAAGACAGAACTTAAAAAAAAAAAAAAAATTTAATGTAATAGATAAAACTCAAAGCTTGTGTAGAAGGCCGGCTTCCTCCATGAAGGAGAAGTCGTCCCCTCCCACAATAGCCACTCCTCCCAGCAGCACCAAAGAGAGGCGATGAGACCTGTCTCCTCTCGACACTGGGAGAGGTGTTTAAGACGAAGATCTCTGAGACTGGGGCATTCCACCATGTGTCAAAAAGTCAATGGGACCAGGCAGTCATCACAATGGGGAGGGGGGAGCCCCCACCATTAAAAAAGCTTGAGTCAGTCGTGTGTGGCCAAAGCAGTCTCCCAGTGGCGCGACAGTCCCTGATGTCCCCAGGCACCCAATGCAGGGAGGGTGTTGCGGAGCTTGTTTGCTCCAACAGCATCTCACCTGCATTTCCAACTCGAGCGGAATGACATGGCACAGGGTGAGAGGCAGCTGCTTTCGCCACAGCAACAGAATGCTCATTCTCCCCCACATGGACCAGAACCCAGTAAAAAGTGACTTTGGATAAGAAACAGCGACTGTAATATATCTATAACTAAGGGATATGGTGATGAGACACTAGCTTTGGTCTGGAAAAAACTATGAGAATTGCTATAAATTGTAAATTTGCTATGAGGTTGGGTAAAAATAATCTTGAGGGCAAGCAAAATGCCCAAAAGCTCTGCAGTAAGAATAGATGCCATATTGGGGAGACTACCATCCCAACAGAATTTGGGAAAGACCACCCCAAAACTCACCCAAGCATCCAACTTAAAGCTGCTGGTGTATACAGGGATAGTCCAAAAAAAGAGAATGATCCACACAGTGAGGGAGTAGAGTCCTTCCTTTCGTTAAAATACTGTACAGTACTGAAAAACTTGAACTTCAGGAAGAATCCACAGAGTGGCAGTAGGCAACCACATGGGGCATATCTGTACCGCAGGAAGACAAAGAATACTCACAAATTCCCTTACCTTGCAGCCGAGAGGTTGTGGGAGGCCTGGATGCCAAGTGTAGTGTGGGGACATAGTCTCATCAACCACACAAGTGTTGGTTACAGACTGCAGAAGGCGGTGGAGGCAAAACCAACACTGAACCTGGAGATGCTGTCGCTGAGGATCAAGGAGTGGGTCATCAGCATCCACTAATAGACTTGGGATTGGTGAAGATCTGAAGCCACCGGTCGCCAGGTGCACCCCAACATGATGAATAGAGTTCGGTGTCTTGAGTCTAGCCTCATTGGCTGAGTAGTACACTTCACACCCATAATCCAGTTTGGGTCTTACTAGCATGTGGTAAAGGTGTAGCAGAGTTCCTCGGTCAGCACCCTACGACATATGCCCCAAGACTCTCAATAACTTGGGAGCACGCTGGCACACGACAATCATAGAACTGTATATCAGTATCTGGGTGAACACCTCGAAGGCAGCTGAAATGCATGGCAACAGTCTTCATGGGAGAAAACCTGAAACCATGCCCTACGGTCCAATGTGAAACCTTGTCTAGTGCAAGTTGCATGCACGGTTCAGCCTCTGAAATGCGGGAAGCTGCATGTCAAATGGCCACATCGTCTACAGACAATGAGATTGACACACTTGACACACCACCTGGAACCGATGCTGCTACCCCATTTGTTGTGATGGAAAATATGGTCACAATCAAGACACTGCCCTGACGAATATGTGGTGCTGACATTTCTATGGCTATGTGGACCCTAAAAGTGTGACGTCCCAAGAACTGACCTATTATTGATGGTAAATTTCCCTGTGGTCCCAAATTGTGTAGCTCCTTAAGGTTGCCAAATCTCCAAGCTGTGACGTATGTTTTCTCTAGGTTGAAAAATGCAGACAAGATACTGGCGACAAACAAAAGCCTCATAATGTTGCATGTCTCGCCACATCCCACTCCAAAATCCATGGTCTGTGACTCCTCTACTCTACACACCCACTTAAACTCTGAGGATCGAGCTGCCATAGAAGACACCCTGAAAATGCTGTGGCAATAAGCTCTGCAACTTCTTGAGGGGGAGCAACTGAGCTGCCATCATGAGCCCTGAAAACTGAGGGAAGATTTGATGAAAAGTTGCCTGCTATTTTCTGCACTCGTTTCCATACCTGGGATAAGGAAGTTTTTCATTTAGAAAGGAGACGTAAGAAGAAAAAGACGGGCGACGAGCATTCTTTAAAACCCGACGATCTTGGGCTTTGGCCCATTTGTATTCCACATGATAAAATTGTGTCCTGTGATGCCAATAGTGACCATAAGCTCTGCGCCACTCAACAACTGCCTGCCTGCACTCCTCCATCTACCAAGGAACAGGTCGACAAGCTATATGACCAGAGGTCCTAGGAATGGAGCAGTGGCCAGCCAATTGGAGAAGACTGGCTAAGTATTCAACCACATCATCTATGGAGGGATATTCTTCAATAATCTTGTCTATCTTCACTAGTTCCTTGAACAAGTCCCAGTCTGCTTTATCTAACCGCCAACAGGGAACTTGTGATGTCGGGAGGACTTCCAAGGAGGAATATAGGATAGGGTAGTGATCACTTTCTCTGAGGTCGTCTGTTATTCTCCACTCAAAGTTCAGAGATCTATGGCTGTACAGTCAACCCTCGCTTTACGCGGTCCCACTTTACACGTTTCCACGTTTACGCGGTACCCTGCCGAACACGGAATGCTCATTTTCCGCGGTGTGTGTACCCTTTTACGTGGAGAGCGGCGCGAGCAGGGTGCGCACAAGGTCGCCCAGTCATCAAAACATTACCGAGTTCTTCACCCGCCACCCACCACAGCCGGCCCAAGTCAGTGATAGTGATAATGATAGTGAGGATATGGACTTTGAGGGGTTTGACAAAGAGGACCTGCAAGCCTCTGGTGGATAGTGATACAAGTGATACAGGTGAGGGCCAATAATCTGCCCTCTGCCTCGGAACCAACCCCCCATCCCCGTGTGCCCAGCCATCTTTTCTACTAATGTAAGTGTTAAAAAACCTAATATTATTGATATTTCTCTTAATTATTAATTGTGCGTGCATACCATCATAAAATTAAGAAGTTATTTTTACTACAACGTAGATATTGTGTCTGAAAAAGTGGAGTTTGGGGGTCGGCCCGGTCTCTATTTCAATTAATCCCATATGTTATGTTGTTCACTTTACGCGTTTCTCACTTTACGCGGGCCGCCGTGGGTTCAATTGATCACGTAAAGTGAGGGTTCACTGTAGTCATGTTAGTCTGGACATGATAGTGGGTGGCTCGCCAGTATTTTATATACCCAGGTTCATTCCTTCCATTAAAATCACCGAGGATGAGATAAGAAGAATGAAGTTGACAAATAAATGAAACAAAATCCTCCCTCCCTAGCAATTGGTGCAACTGGGTAACAGGTAAATGGAGCAAATGGTATAGGTACACTAGAGGTGAATCTTGCAAGCTGTTGTCTGCAATGGGGAAGTAATGGATAATGGGCTATAGGGTACAGAACACTAATTCTAGATCTTGAGAATAAAAAAACAAATATCCTCTGGAAAGGGGATGATTATAGGTCCCTATCACCGTCTCCTGGAGACAAATGCATATAAGGGAGAATTTGCTAAGGAGCAACTGGAGCTCCTCCCAGTTGGGTTGTAAGCTTCGACAATTCCATTGGACTATGGTGGCCATGATTATTGGGGATCTAAGAAGGGGTATGTGAGTGTGCAGCCCCCAACAGGCATTTAGGCTTAGGCTTAGTTTGCGTTTTGGAGCCTGGAGGATGCACCAGAAGTGTGCCATGACATGTGCCTACTACAGTCCCCCTGTTGAGGGTGGAACGACTTGTGTGGTGCTGGGCCTTTCAGTCCCGCCACAGGGTTGAAAGATGTGTCTGTGGCTTTGTGGCCACAAACGACCTAGATGTAGACCCATCCCATGGACCCACACCAGAGTTAACCCCTGGAGATGGCTCCCCAGATGGAGGATCCATAGAGGTGACCCATGTGCCAGGGGTCCCAGCTGCCAGCTCAATTTTAGCTGGGGGTCTCAACACCAGAGGCTTCTGTAAGAGGATCAGTCAGCCTGAGCTGACATCTGTTGGAGTGTCTGGGACTCAGAATTGGGTTCTGAAGTTAGCAAAGAGGTCTCACTTTCTTCACAACAGCCAGACGTTTCTACCATCAATACCCTGGCCAGAGGATTGTCTAACCTCCAGAGACTCTGAGACCCCGTAGGTAGCATTTTGCTGAAATTCTTGTAGTACCAGGATGGCGGGTGGAGGAAAGATGAGGAGTAGCAGATGTGTCCGCCTCATCCATAAGGACCTCAACCACTACAAGAAAAGTCTGAGGACTGAGGATTGGTGGCATAGAGTCAGGTGTGGGAGCTGAATTCAATACAGTTACGGATTTTTCTCGGGGTGGTGTTGCAGCAGCAGTTTGCAGAGCCTTGTGTCGGCATAGGAATCCCCATGCCTTGAGACATATATCAGTGCTGTGCTTCTGGCTTCAGCAAAGCTCACTTTGTCTCTCGTGTGGATCTTCTGTATCTCTTTCTCGATTCGGAACTGGTCACATTCACTAGAAGAGGCTGGATGCGCCTCACTACAATGAAAACAGCAGACTGCACCCAGACATTTCTGACCCACATGGACCTTACCACAGTTAACACATACTGCAGGAACACCCTGCTCTAATTTATGACTAGTGCGGCTGACATGGTCATACATCTGACATTGGAAGCATCGTCTAGGATTTGGGACGTATAGTTTCACCTTAAGGGAGACCCAGGCAACCTTGATTGAGGTTGGAATTTCGAAATAATCAAATGCCAATAACAGAGTTGGTGTAGGGTTAAGAACACCATTTTATTTATTGCGGAACCTGTCCACTTTCACCACCTTTTGGATTCGGAGCTCCTCCAGAAGCTTCTCCTCTTGGTATCGAAGCAGCTCTTTAGAGAATATCACCCCTCGACACTGGTTAAAGGTGGCATGCAGAGTACAGGAGACTGGGGCACAAGGTACCTCAGACAGGGTATGGAATCGAGCATTCTCCTCAAGGGAGGAGACCTCCACTAGGAGGCTACCATCTTGCTGGGTGGGTATTTTGGGTTCTCTCCCACAAATTGTTACTATTGACCTGTGAGCATAAAAAATTTCCAGGTTCATTACAAGCTTGCCTTCCACAGTACGGAGCACTAGATATTTTTCAAAATCTACCTGCTTGAACACACTCGCTAAGATCTCATGGATAGAAGCATCATGGAGGATGCCACGGCCAGTGGGCCTCCTGCAGCTCTTTTACTTGGGTATTTGTTGTGACCCAGAGCCACTTTTCCCAATTTGATACGGCCGCAATGTAGCAACTGATGATCCAGAGTAGGGTCCAGGGATGGGTGCAGGGTCGTCAGGTGGGAGTTTCTGGCCGGTTATTTGAGTTTGTTTCTTCTTTAAAAAAACCTAAATTACTTCATTCCCCCACCCCCCATAGAGCCCAACAAGAGGAGGTCAGTGCCAGAGATAAAACCCTGGTGACCCTAGTGGTAGTTTGGAGTATACATGGGTAACCACCAGGTAGCCAAGACGGCAGCTCCTGGACCGAAAAGGTGTGTTGCTAACCGCAGGGCATAGCATGGGGCATCGCTAAACCACCAGGACTCCCGTCTCCCTGCATTATGGGATGCCACGCATGGCAAACACGTGGGAGAGTATTCCAGCCCAGGTGGTCTGGGTGGCTGGGGACGATGCTGCCAGTCTCCTTGCAAAACTGGCAGCAGGATAGGACCATTTTGTTTGGACTCTCTTCGGTGACCCACCCAGTTTGGAAAACCCTTTCTCTCCCTCCAAGGAGGGAAGGAAGGAGGGCTTAGCCCCCTTCTGGTACTGCTCACTGGATCACCAAGACTCACAAGCCACCCCCTACTGCATCAAGGCAGCTCCACTGGTGGTGGTGGTGGTGGTGGTGGGTGGTGGTGGTGGTGGTGGTGGTGGTGGTGGTGGTGGTGGTGGTGGTGGTGGTGGTGGGTGGGGAGTGGATACTCTCCCCTACAACTGCCGATTTGTCACTTGCCATCCGCTTACCAGCCAACCAGCGGCGAGTTCCACAGACCAAGCCTCGCTTTCGGACTGCGCGGTGATTGGCCAGTTACCGTTTTCACCTCAGCCAATCAGCAGCACCGCTCACTTCCGATATGTCTATCTGATCCGGCAGAATCGTATAAATACCCCCAGCCTCGCCGTGAAGGTTATTCTACTCAACAAACATTGCAATTCATTGTTTTTGTTCATGTTCACAACACTCGTGATGAATGACGA